CTAAAAATACAAAAATCAGCTGGGCATGGTGGCGCGTGCCTGTAATCCCAGCTACTCAGGAGGCTGAGGCAGGAGAATTGCCTGAACCCAGGAGGCGGAGGTTGCGGTGAGCTGAGATCGGTCACTGCACTCCAGCCTGGGTAAGAAGAGCGAAACTCCGTCTCAAAAAAAAGAAAAAAAAAAGAAAAAAAAGAAAAAAAAAAGGAGAGAATCCCATGATAAGAAAATAAAATGGGACTTCTTCTCAGGATGAAGAAAGTGGGAAAGAATGATATTCCCACTGTAGAATAAGGAAAAGCTGAATACGCTACAAAGTTACAGATTTTATGGAGCCCATGAGACAGAGACACCAGGTAAGCCAAATTCCGGGGAGCAATGAGGCCCTCAAAAGCAACATTAGACACATACAGTCTCTTCTTTGGCAGAGCATGGGAGAAAGACGTGACTGCCAAGCAAGCGAGTAAGAAAAAATTAACTGATACGTTAGCAAATTCTTAAGGGCCCAGGCTGGGCCAGCATGTCAGCTTGGAATAGCTAGGGGCTTCGGACACAAGGAGCGCTTGTTCTCCCCGGCAAACTCCTTCCTGAGCCTCAAAGACTGGGCCAGGCAGAGACCATGAGAGCCTCCTTATTTGCAGGGGCAGGGAGATGGGATGAGCAACGAATAGCTGGGGGACAGGCACCAAGCCTGCTTACTTACTTCTCTGGTCTCTTTTCTTCTGTGAAGCAAGAAGTATTACGTCATTTGGGAAGAGGTAGTGAGCCATTTAGAACCATGACGTTTTGGAGAAGAGTAGAGGTAAAACCCGTCTTTCTCTGGAGAAGGTAGGAAACCCTTTCCCAGGACATGGGCAAAGAGCCATTGTTAGTGGAAAAGTAGAACGCAAAGACCCTTTACTCCTAGGGAGGACAGGAAATCTCTTGGGTCCAGAATCCTACGCTGATACCAAGAAGAGTACTGCACAGCTGGGACGCGACAGTCCACTTCCACCCAAGACTAACAACAAATACAAAACAGAGTTTCCCTGCCACAGTGACGAGTGCAGGAACATCAGTAAAGCCTCATCCCCAGTCCCAGGTGCCCAGGATCTACCTAAGACTGAGGCCAGCCCAGGACAAGGGAACATGTCCTGCCATACCATGAGCCAAGCACTGAGTAACAAGAACTCTACTGCTGAGGGCAGGGTCATAGCAGCGAGAAAGACTCCCTCCTGTGGTGTAAACACTCGAGAACAGTGAAACATTTAGGGGGAAGAAGAAAATCCAAGAGAAACTCACTAGCACCCCAGACCCACACTAAGCAGATAGTAATGGCATCCTACTGCTAGAAGAATTTGAAGCTCAAACCAGCTCAACTCCTGACTAGTCTAGCTCAACTCCCACCTCCCATTCCCACACACACACTAATGGCCTAACAGTAGACAAGGCATTTCTATTTCCAGGTGTGCAGAACAGGTCTCCAAATGACCTTGGTTAACTCAGCTCTTCCTCCTTTGCTTGCAATTTGGTACACTGTTCTGAGAAAGCAATATGCTGAGATAGGACTTGTCCAGAGTAGCGTGGGCTTTGCCCTCATTTTTCCTAGAACAGGATGTCCTACAGCACTTGCGCACAGTGATCCAGGTTTCCCCTGGGGAATGATACCCAGAATGCTGTGATTTTGTAGTCCCTCAGCTTTGGTACAATGTAGGACACATGCAGATAAGACTCATTTGCTGTGGACAGCTTTCCTGAGCCGTGGAGGACTGGCTCACCATGGACCCCAGGCTTCTGTTGATTCTTGTTGCCTATTGGGGAGTAATAAGTTGCTTTGTCTGACTTGTGTGGGTTTTATATCTTGCCAGACTCATACTCTGGTAGCTGGGTTTGTGCAAAACCTCCTGCTAGATCTATGAACTTTAACAAGTTATAAATATTATTTACCACAGTTTCTATTGATCTTCTACACATGATGTATAGCATTCAATAAAAAATTTTAAGACAGACAAAATTGCAAGAGAAAACAACCTATCTTCTAGAGATAAAGGAATCAACAAAATGCGAATCAGAGAAATCCAGACATTGGAACTATCAGACAGAAATTTTAACATAACTAAATAATATGTTAAAGGCTCCATGGGAAAAGATAAATGCATGAATTGGAAATTTCAGCAGAAAGATGGAAATGAGAGAGAGTGTCTGCTAGAAATTAAAACCATGATATCAGGGATGAATTCCTCTCACAGGCCCATAAGTAATGTAGACACAGCTGAGAAAAGAAACAGTAAACTTGACAGCAGGTCAATAGAAACTATTACAACTAAAACACGAAGAGATAAATGAATGAAAAAAAGATCAAAGTATTCAAAGCTACAGGAAAATATCAAATGGCCTAACATGCACGTAATTAAATCCTAGAAGAAGAAAGTAGAAGAAATATTTAAAGACATCATGATTTTTTTTAATGAAATACATGAAACAACAGATTTAGGAGTTACAGAGAACCCCAAGCAGTAGATGCGCTTTTACAGCACCTAAACAGATCATTGCTAAATACCACAGCTGAAGAGCAAACCTTGAAGGCAGCCAGAGAAAATAAACACATATAGAGAAACAAAGATTAGAAATACAACAACCTTCTTGTAGGAAACTATACAAGCCAGAAAAAAAAGAAAAAAATGAAGTGATATCTTTAAAAAACTGAGGGAAAAAACCCTGTCAATAAAAAATCTGTACCCAGAAAAAAAATATATCTCAAGAATGAAGGCAAGATATTGACTTTTTTAGATAAACAAGTTCTAGGAAAATTAATTTCAGGCAGACTTGGTTCTATAAGAAATGTTCAATTTTAAGCTCTTTGTATGAAAGAAATATTATAATGAAATTGAAACTTGAATATAATCAGGGAATGGAAGAGCATAAAAAGGTAAACATTAAGATAAACATAAAAGACATTCTATTTGTTGATTGCATTATGAGATAGTTGGCTAAAGATAAAAAGAATAACAATGCATTGTACAGTTTTAACATAAAGTAAAATATATGACAAAAACAGCACAAAATAATTGGAAGGAGAGATTGTAAGTATACTGTTGTTTCTTATACTACATATGAACTGGTATAATACTGTTTAAAGGAAGACATGATGAGATAAAAATGTGTATTAGCTACCCAAGCCAACCACTGAAAAAGTTTAAAAGGAGTTTAACTAAATGAAATAATAATAGATATAAAATGAAATCAAAGAAATAACTAATAAAACCAAAGGCAGGGAAACAACAAATCAAACAAAGCAAAATAATAGGAATGTGGTAGATGTAAAGCCAACCACATCAATAATTAAAGTTAAATGATCTAGGACTTCTACTTTTAACCAAGACAGAATAATAGTGACCACATTTACGTTCCTGCTAGAAACCAAGAAACTGGACAAATATGCAAAATGATGAATTTCAGGACCCTGAACATTAGTCAACAGAAGATATGTTCTCCTGAGAGATAGAGAACAAGTAAAGTGAGACCTGTGATTGCCCAGGTAAACTCCTTTGGGAGAGTTCCCAGCTCTGGTTCAGGGAAAGCAACCCCAGGAAAATCCTAGAATACTATTTGATGAGAAGACAGAGTTGACAAGTTCTGGGAAAATAAGGCAGCTCGAGTTTCAGCAGAGAGTACAAGAAAATCAACAACTGCAGAGGGAGAACACCAAGATCTCCAGAGGGTCCCTCTCAAATATTCTACAGGGTGCTAATCAGTGCATGGGTATGAGGACACAATCTGAGACTGAGGAAAGAACTACCCAAAAGGATTGGAGGAAACAGTACGTGGCATTCACAGTGACTAGAAACAGTGCCTATTCCTATCAGCCAGGCTGGAAGACCTCACAATTCAGGGGGCATTGGGTGGAGTACTCCAGAGGATCTTCCTTGGTGTTTAGAAATAATAAGCTCTAGACCAAATGTGACTCAAGTCCTACATATCATATTTTAAAAGCAATAACTAAAAGGATCTAACTGTTTCTAAGTAACTTAACTGCACTCCTGAACAAAGCTCAAGAGCATTTATAGAAATACAAAAAATATCTAGCACACAAGGTAAAATGAATAATGTCTAGCATCCAGTAAAAAATTACCAAACATGAAAAGCAAGAAAATATTAACTAAAATGAGCAGGTAAATAAATAATCTGAAAATGACACAGAATAAATAGTGATGTTAAATTTAGCAGACAAAGACATTAAAATAGTTATTTCAACAAATTCAGCAAAAATATGGATGATATAAAAGAGACAAAAATAAAACTTTAAGGATAAAAATTACAATGTCTGAAATTTTTAAAAAGCATTCAATAGGATTGACAACTAATTAGATATTGCAGAAAATACATAAACTTGCTGCTGATGAATGCTTTCAGATTTTTTTTAAGTCTAAAAATATATTTACCTTCATTTTTGAAAGATATTTTCAATTGATATAAAAAAATACTGTACGGAATGCTAAACTGAAATTTTTTCTTTCAGTACTTTAAAGATGTTACTCCATTGTCTTCATGCTGGCATTGTTTCTGATGATGAATTTGTTGTTACTCTTCTCTTAGTTCTTCTACATGTAATGTCTCCATTCCCTGTGCCCGTCATCCCTCAGATGTTTTTCATCTGTTACTGGCTTTGAGCAATTTGATTTTGATCAATTTGAGTGTCATTTTCTTCATGTTTCATTGAGTTTCTTGAATCTGAGAGTTTATCATTTTCATGATATTTGGGAAGTTGGGAGCCATTATTTCTTCATGTATTTTTTCCTGTCCCCCTCCTGGCCCCTAGTACATGTATATTGTATCCATGACTTACTGATACTCTGTTCACTTTTTAATTTTTTCTCTTTGTATTTCATTTTGGATAGTTTCTATTGCTATGTCCTCAAGTTTACTAATTTTTTTTCTGCGATGTCTCACCTTTGGTTAATCCTATCTAGTGTAATTTTTATTTCAGAAAATACAATTTTCATCTCCAGAAGCTCAACTTGGATTTTTTTGCAATCACCTTTAGTACTCACAGCCTATGGGCAAGGAGGCAGGGCAATGGTTCAAGGCTGAAGTTTACACTGGCATGGGCACTCTATGAGGCCCACAGAGAAGTGACCCCATGAACCCATTACCATGCCACCCATTACCATGTTCTTGGGTTTGTTTTACATCTTTCATTTCTCTACTTATCATGCTTAATCTTTCCCCTAGGTTTCTGAACATATGAAATACTATTTAGGATGATCATTTTGATGTTTTTTTCTACTTCTATCATCTATGTCAGTTTTGTGTGTTTCAATTGATACATTGTCCTTATTATTAGTCATGTTCTCCTATATACTTCTTTATATGTTTGGTTATTTTTACAGGATCCTAGTCATTGTACATTTGCTTTATTGGGTGATAGATATTTGTGAATTTCGTAAATATTCTTGAACTTTGTAATACAAAGCTATTAGCAAGAGTTTGACACTTTCAGGTCTTGCTTCTAAGCTTTGTTTGGCATAACCTGAGCAATGTTTCAACTAGAGGACCTTTTGTTCCACTACTGAGGCAATACATTTCTGATTACACTACCCAGTGCTCTATAGACTGAGGTTTTCCAGGCTGGCTGGTCATAACAGGCACTATTTACATTCCTTTGTGAGTTCTAGGCACTATTCCTTCTTATCTGTTCAGAGGATTTTCTGCTCACACACCTGCCCTCAACAGGACTCAGCTGAATGCTCGAAGGGATTTGCTGTGGATTTCTAGGGTTTTCTTTCCCTGTAGCCCTCTCATCTCTGTTATTCTGTTTTGCAAACTCTAGTCTCCTTGGCCTCCTTCCTCCCTCTTCAAGGCAAGGAGATCAATAGTCTCTGCTTGGGTTTCCTCTCCCCGTACAACCTGAAAATTCTCTCTAAACAGCAAGCTGTGACAAATGTAGGCAATACCTAATTTGTTTTCTGTCTCTCAGGAATTATGGTCTTTTGTTGCCTGATGTCCAATTTCTTGAATCCTGTTGTTTCCTATATTTTGTCCTAATTCACAGTTATTTCAGGTGGGAAAATAAATCTGGCCCTGTTAATCTATCTTGGCTCTCATATTTAAAAAAAAAAAAAATTTTGGCCAGGCGTGGTGGCTCACGCTTGTAATCCAAGCACTTTGGAGGCCAAGGCAGGCAGATCACCTGAGGTCGGGAGTTCAAGACCAGCCTGACCAACATGGGAAACCCTATCTTTATAAAAAATAAAAAATAAAAAAATAAAAATTTAAAACCAAGTATAGATGTTTGAAGACTGTATTGTTAAACTTAAAAATATAAAAATGTTAAGATCAGAACTTAGTTCTTTGTAATCAAAATGAAGAACTTTGTTATAGTCTGTAATTTATAACTTACTTGTCTTGCATAGTTTCACCCGGGAGGTGAGGAAACCAACAAATAATACTGCAGGGGAATTTTTTTAAAGACAGGGATAGGTAGAAAAGTGGTGGTGAGCAGTGGACAGTGATCATTTATCAGGGAAAGAACGAGGAATAAAGAAACAACAAAAAGAAACCTGCCAGGCGTGGTGACTCACGCTTGTAATTATCCAGCACTTTGGAAGGATGAGGAGGGTGGATCGCCTGAGATCAGGAGTTTGAGACCAGCCAAAACCCCATCTCTGCTAAAACTACAAAAAATTAGCTGGGCATGGTGGCAGGCACCTATAATTCCAGTCACTCCCGAGGCTGAGGCAGGAGAATCACTTGAACCCGGGAGGTGAAGGTTACAGTGAGACAAGATCATGCCACTGCACTCCCCCCTCAGCAACAAGAACAAAACTCCATCAAGAAAGAAAAAAGAAATCTGATGGGCATAGTGGCACATATCTATAGTCCTACCTACTTGGGAGTCTGGTGGGGAGAAGTTTGAACCAACCTGGGCAACATAGCAAGACCCCATCTCTTTCAAAGAAAAATAAGAGAAAGAAAGAAAGAAAAGAAATAGAAAAGAGATCTGTCTTAGTTATCTACAACTAGTGTGTTGGAAAGTCCTGAGCTGGGACCCAGAAGACCTGAGTTTAGCCTGTCTTGCGATGTTGGTAAAGTTATTTAACCTACTTGATTTTAGAAAATACCATTAAATAAGTAACAGATAAAAAAATGACAATGCCTGACACATTGTAAAAACACAATAAATATTAATTGCTTCTGTCTGTCATTTATATAGTTTACAAATCAGCAAAGATTGAATACAAACCATTTTTTTTTTAATAAGGTTTCATGGGGCCGGGCACAGTGGCTCATGCCAGCAATCCCAACACTTTGAGAGGCCAAGACAGGGAGATCACCTGAGGTCAAGAGTTCAAAACCAACCTGGCCGACTTGCTGAAACCCCATGTCTATTAAAAATACAAAAAATTAGCTGGCTGTGGTGGTACATGCCTGCAATCCCAGCTACTCGGGAGGCTGAGGGCAGGAGAATTGCTTAAACCTGAGAGGTAGAGGCTGCAGTAAGCTGAGATCACACCACTGCACTCCAGCCTGGGAAACAGAGTGAGACTCTGGCCAAAAAAAAAAAATGTAGGTTTTATATTGGGGTATGGTGAGGTCAACAGATGAGACAGTTGTCATTGAAAAGATAGTTGGTTACTCATAGTTACTAAGGGGAGAAGGCATGCCATGCCGTGTGCAAGGCCACACAGGGATGCACCAGAGTTGGCTGGGAGGCAGACAGAGCAGGCAGAAAACATGAGCAGGAGCTTTAATTGTGATTCCCATGGGAAGAATCAGGCCAAGCGGGCTTAGGAATGGCTAGTTTAAATAACTTCAGCAGAGTCTGGAGTGTAAGGACTATCTCTATTTGTCTGGTATCTGACCCTGGAGTGATTTGGACAGGGGGATAGTGGCCCAGTATCTGAGCCCTGCAAGAGCCCAGTAAAGGAGGTGGTGGGGTTAAAGGGTCTGGACTGATTCGTTTGCACATGAAAAGGCTGCTTATGGGTGAGCCTTTACTATCACTAGGAACCAGCTAGCCCTGGGGAGCAAGCCTCAAGATGTCAAAGCATCAGAAATACAGAAAATAAATAGGCATGATTAATACAAACCCTGACTGATAAGATGGGTTAACAGTGCTGTCCTACTGTGCCCAGACCTAGTCCTCCCCTTTGCACTACCCCGGCAAGTGTAATTATCTGGGGAGTACCCAGCAGCCCTAAGGCCACATGCGCGGACTGGTGTCTTTATCAGGCTCTCTTTCTCTCCGCCTGGCTTGTATCCTTTTCAATGATAACAAGGCTGCCAAAGTGAGGGGTTGGCTGTAGTCTTGGCAGGATCCTGCTTTTGAGACCTGAGATCCCTACCTGACATTGGGTCGCTCCCAGCCCCCAAGGTAATGCTAGCTGCTGGGCCTGGGAGTGCGCCTGCCTGCCAGGGCCTGCAGAAAAGCCTGGCTGGTGGGACACCAGAGACCTCGCGCCTGGGATTTAGTGCACGGTCCACAGGCCATGACTGCTCACTCAGGCTCCTGTGTGCCAGTGGCTTTCCACAGAACAAACTTGTTTCCTGTTCATATACTACACTCTCAAACCCAGGCAAGGCTATGTACTAGAAAAAACCACCACTCAACTGCTTTTTCAAGTTTGCTGTGGGACATCCCACCCTCACCTCCAACTCAACCCATCAAAAATCAAAATCCTTGGACATAAAAACCATTAGAGATTACTACATTTAGGGTCCCTGCCAGATACCAATTTGGTCCCTTGGCAATTTGCTCAATCTGAAGAATCCGTTCAAATCGTTTGCAAAATGTGGGGAATGTGTGGTTTTTCGGTGGTTTCCATCCCAGTGACAATCGAATTCCCAAAGGGCCCTGAGAAGCCATCAGCTGGCCCTTCCCCCAGCTGGCCCTTCTCCCAGCTGGCTCCATTTCTGAGCGGACTTTATCTCCCTAAATCTGGCAGAGCTTTTTGCCTCCTACCTCATGGCAAATCCTGAGACACTTTTGACCTCCTGCACTCACCAGTGGTCTCCCCTCTGTCTGTACCTGTACAAGGCTAGTCTTTCCACCTGTGCTCTCCAGCACACATCTTGTCCCTCAAATTACCCCTTCTTAAATTTTGAACCTGTCTGGTTGCTTCTCCCTGGTCTATACAGGGGTTTCAGGGTTTCTCATGTCAAAACAGAACAACAGCCCCTGTCACACTTCCGGTCTTCTCTCTGCTTCACATGGTCTGTATTCCTCTACCTACCTCTTGTTCTTCTCTGTGCCTCATTGCCCGCTATAACTCATCTCTGAAACCTATAGACGACATCACTAGTTTATCTTCTCTTGAGTTCTAAATCTACATTGTTAGAAAACAGAATAGCTTATGAATCAAAAATGAGGAATCTATGGTCAACCAGTCTGGGTTCAAAGCCTGGCCCCACCAGTTAGCAGCTGTTGATCTCAAGCAAGGTAACCTTTTCGTGCTTGAGTTTTTCTCTTTTTAAAATCCACCTACATCATCAGTCGCAGTGAGGAATACATAAGACATGAAATGCTTAGCACAGTGCTTGACACAAAATGAACAACCAGTAATGTGAACTATCATTCTTTACACCTGCACATGCTACAGGTGCCTCATGCTCAACATGCCTAGAACTAAACTAACCTTTTCTCCTTGAGCTGCTTCTTCCTCCTGGTTCCTCATTTGTGACTGGGGTTTGCCTGTGAAGGCTGCATTCGCTAAGGCCTACTGGCCTCTTTGGACTTCCTAGGGTCTCACCAGCCTGCCATTTGGTCTTCTTGCCTTTACTTTTTCCCTCCCACCAAACCACTCTCCACACTGCAGTCAAGATCTGCTCATCTTATTCCTCTCCATAAAAACCCAATGGCTCTCCATTGTCCACCAGATAAAATCTGATTTTTAAAAATTTTTTTGGAGACAGGCTTCCACTCTGTCACCCAGGCTGGAGTGCAGTGGCACCATCATAGCTCACTCTCACTGTAACCTCAAACTGCTGGGCTCAAGCAATCCTTCCACCTCAACCTGCCGAGTAGCTGGCACTATAGGCATGAGCCACCACACCCAGCTATTTTTTTTTTTTTTTAATTTCTGTAGAAATGAGGCCTCACTATGTTTTTCAGACTGGTCGCAAATTCCTGGGTTCAAGTGATCCTCCTGCCTCAGCCTC